CCTCCTAGAATAAGCTCCACATAGAAAATGAATCAAAAGGGAGTAGTTATTTGAACAGAGGGCTGGAGGAGGAGAGGAGGACACAGGAAGACAAGGAAAAGGAGCCCTCCCAAAACGGGGGCAACAGCCAGTGTAAAGGCCCTGCAGTAGAAACCCCGTCTTGCTCCTACTTCAGAATGAAGTCGTCTGACTCAAACTTCAAGGTAAGCACAGGCCAGCTCACTAAGGGCCTTGTGAGGGAAAGCTGCCGGGACAGAAAGCAGGAAAATATGGTTTAACACTGAAAACGCTGGCAAATCAAAACCACAATGAGCTATCAGCTCACACCTGTCACAACAGCTAAACTCAACAACACAAACGACAGATGTTGGCAAGGATGTGGGGAACAGGGACCCCTCGTGCACCGTTGGTGGGGATGCAAAGTGGTGCAGCCACTGTGGAAAACAGTATGGAGGTTTCTGAGAAAGTTAAAAATAGAAGGGGCGCCTGGCTTAGTTGGTAGTGTGTGCAACTCTTGATCTTGGGGTCTCAAGTTCAAGCCCCACACCGGGTATAGAGCTTACTTACCAAAAAAAAAAAAGTTAAAAATACAACTACCCAGGGCGCCTGGGTGGCTCAGTCGTTAAGCGACTGCCTTCGGCTCAGGTCATGATCCCAGGGTCCTGGGATCGAGCCCCGCATCGGGTTCCCTGCTCTGCGGGAAGCCTGCTCCTCCCTCTCCCACTTTCCCTGCTTGTGTTCCCTTTCTCGCTGTCAAATAAATAAATAAAATCTTAAAAAAAAAATACAACTACCCCATGACCCAGCAATTGCACCACTAAGTATTTACCCAAAGGATACAAAAATACTAATTCAAAGGGGTACCTGCATCCCAATGTTTACTGCAGCCTTATCTACAATAGCTAAACTATGGAAAGAGCCCAGATGTCCATCGACTGATGAGTGGATAGAGAAGATGTAAGATACACAGTCTGAGTCACACAGGCTTCTGGTCCTTGTTAATCTGACTCCTTTCTGATCTGTCACCTCAAGCTCTCCCTTAGTCTTTCAGCTCCAAGAGATGTTGGCAGTTCCTTCAGCAGGTAACAGGCCTTCTTTCTTTCCTGCCTGTGCCTTTCCCCATGCTTTTCTCTCTGCCCAAAATGATCTTTTCTGATGTTCTTTGCTGAACTTTCTTTGCTGAACTTTTCAGGACTCAACTTGAATGGAGCCTCCTTCAAGAATTTTTTCCTCACCTTCCAATCTGATATAAGGTCCTCTCTTAAGGGGTTCCACGACATCTGGCCTACACAGCTGCTGTTACTCAGACCGATGCTGACGGTTACAGCGAGACAGCCAGCCAGTGACAGCACGCCCCAGTCTCGCAGCCCTCGAACACCTCCCTGAGGGCATACAGCAGCCTCCAAGGCTGCAGGGCAGCGACCACCAAAGGCAGAGAGCTAATGACCCAGCTCGAGTGACCAAGACAAGCTTATGCTGAACAAGGCCTATACGCCCTCCCTGCAGAGCTAGATAAATCTCAACAAATTTTGGAGCTTCACACACTACGATGGACAACCCCAAAAGCAAGCTCTACAGAAGCCAGGCAAACAGCCCCATCATTCAAAGATGTTTGAGGAAGGCTCAATTAACAGCTCTGGGATGGCCTCTGACAGAAAAGAGAGAACTCTGGAGCTGCGGAGACCAGCCAGGGTGAAAGTCCTACCCAGAGGACTGTAGCTCTCCAACGGACTGTCTGCCCTGCACTGGAGCCACTGCTGCCCCCTCACCCCAACTCCTCTCACTTCGGTGGCTCTACAGCAACCACTGCCTAGCTGAGCTCGAGTGGCTGTGGGCCTTCTTCTGCAAATGGTGTGTGAAGGTCTGTCTGCGCCCCGCAGCAGCCAGTTATGGGCCAGGCCAAAGTTCCAGCAAGAAAATTCTAGATTTAGGAAAACATAGTGGACCTCTTAGTTTTTGAAGGAAGCCTGTTTCCTTCTCGTTCATTATTTTGGGAGGACCTTAAGGGCACCAGAAAACTGCCATGTTGCTCAGCTCTCAGTGAATGTGTGCCAGCTCCCTGTTTCTTTTTTTTTTTTTTTTAAAGATTTTATTTATTTATTTATTTGACAGAGAGAGAGGTAGCGAGAGCAGGAACACAAGCAGGGGGAGTGGGAGAGGGAGAAGCAGGCTCCCCGCAGAGCAGGGAGCCCGATGCGGGACTCGATCCCAGGACCCTGGGATCATGACCTGATTCGAAGGCAGACGCTTAACGACTGAGCCACCCAGGCGCCCTCCCTGTTTCCTTTTGCCAGAGAGCACAGAACTGGCTTTTAGAGGAAGCCGTAAGGTGCGGGGGTGGCGGGGGAGGTAAGATGAGCACTTGGATTGCCGACTTCTCCTTTCAGCTGTGGAGGTAACAGGCAAACATGTGGCCCTTCAGCAGGGGTTGATGAACTATGGCATATGCCCTACTTCAGAACGCTTCACTGCCCTTTCTGCCCCAAAGGGTCTGGCTGACTTAACATGGGGATCATCAGGTGCCCATTTAGAAATCTCCCTTCTAGGGTGCCTGGGTGGCTCAGTGGGTTGGGCTTCTGCCTTCGGCTCAGGTCATGATCCCAGGGTCCTGGGATCAAGTCCCACACTGGGCTCCTTGTTCAGTGGGGAGCCTGCTTCTCACCCTGCCTGCCACTGCCCTGCTTGTGCTGTCAAATACACAAAATCTTAAAAAAAAAAAAAAAAACCTCCCTTTTAGCACCTTTAAAAAGTATTCCCCTCATTCCCCTTTACAGGGTAGTCATGAACCCAGTTGACATCACACCCAAAGAAAGCAGCAAGACTTCCCTACACCACCAGCCCACTGGCCCAATTCCAGATGTTCACCACTTTCCCAGGAACCTAGCTTGGGTCTGACTGATACAGTGCTCACAAGACCTCAAATCCAATCCTTCCCCGTCCAGGAGGGCACATTTCTAAAACTCTGCTACTCTCTCTGAAAATACTTCAGGCTTTCCTCCAATACCTGAGATAAGGTCCCAGGACTTGCATTATGGTACCACTTTCAAAACAGAGTAGGAAGTAGCTTCCTGATCAGAAAACCCAAGCTCTGGGGCACCTGGGTGGCTCAGTCGTTAGGCGTCTGCCTTCGGCTCAGGTCATGATCCCAGGGTCCTGGGATCAAGCCCCACATCGGGCTCCCTGCTCGGCGAGAAGCCTGCTTCTCCCTCTCCCACTCCCCCTGCTTGTGTTCCTGCTCTCGCTATCTGTCAAATAAATAAATAAAATCTTAAAAAAAAAAAAAGAAAACCCAAGCTCCAAAATTTATAGGAACAGAAATACTTTAGACCCTTTCCTGCTTGCCAGGACAAAGAAAGGCCCAGACTAAGGGACTGAGAGCCTGATCCTTCCTTATGTGTGACTGGCAGGAGGGTGATGCCATTTTCTGTGGCATTCATGAAAGCCACTCTTCTTCACTGGCACCCCTCTCTTTTTTCTACTGTCACTACAGAGAACAGTGTGCTTTCCCCTTTCGTTATCCCTCCTCCTGGTTTTGCTCAAATCTGATTTGTTTCCAAAAATTCAGATGTGGCTTATGAAGGAAGCCCTGGTGGAAATAACCCACTGCTATAACAGACAGTATATTTAGGAATGCCCATTACTTCGAATTATAGGCAGAGACAATGACAAAGCCAAATAACAACGTGTGTGTGTGCACCTTTGTTTTTTTGTTTTTTAAAGATTTTATTTATTTATTTGAGAGAGAGAATGAGAGAGAGAGAGCACATGAGAGGGGGGAGGGTCAGAGGGAGAAGCAGACTCCCCGCTGAGCAGGGAGCCCGATGCGATGCGGGACAGTGTGTGTGCACCTTTGTAAGTTACTCTCACTAACTACTCTGTGCAGATAACCCACCCCCCACCAGCTGGATTCCGTAAGTCATGTTCCAGCTCCAGCTACACGTCTGTGAAAAGAATATGGACACAAAACCCGGTTTTCTTTCTCCAAATCTAGCACCATTTTCTTCAAGCTCTGGCTTTGTTCTGGCTCAAACAGGAGGAGCATAGCAGGAGGGGATCCCTTCCCATTGCCCAGATCTACTGAAAAAGATCCAGTAGAGGTCAGTGAATTTTATACTGAGCAAGGCCGTCTGCTGTAGTTCCCAACAGTCTCCCTTCCAGGAGTCTGCAATGCAATACCCACTTGTCCGGGCTGCACAAGGGATGCCAAACTGTGTCTGATTTACTATATACGGAAATTCCTGACAAGCTGTACCTTTGATTCATTATGTCTGACACTCCCTTGCCCGCCTTGCTGAAGGTTCAATGCACTGACAAGACACCCTTTTGAGGAGAGGGGTGGTGTAGAATCCCTGCTCTAAACAGACTCAGCCCGGAGCCTGTTGGGGTAGCAGGCCGTGGCTCACTAGAGAGTGAGACTACTGAGAAGTGCTCTCCCTTAAGGCAGTTTGCATAGCCATCAAGTTCCAAGAAATAGGCTTGCTGGCTTTTTCTGGAGGGTGCCTGGGTGGCTCAGTTGGTTAAGCGACTGCCTTCGGCTCAGGTCATGATCCTAGAGTCCCGGGATCGCGTCCCACATCGGGCTCCCTGCTCGGCGGGGAGTCTGCTTCTCCCTCTCCTGCTCCCCCCTCTTGTGCTCTCTCTCTCTCATTCTCTCTCTCAAATAAATAAAATCTTTAAAAAAATAAACAAATAAATAAATATCAAAGTAATTTACTGCAACGTTGTTTAAGTAAACATCCCTGAAATGAAAACTGTTATAAATACAGTAGCCCTCAAGCCTCAGGAAGGTGCCCAAACTTGTCCAGAGAGAAGCCATTATCTACCTCCATGTGGCTCAGGAGGGCAGCATGTGTGTGGGAAGAAAGTTAAGACACCAGTAAGAAGGAAGAAGACATTCTAAGAGAGGATGGTGGTGACGGTTGCAAAACACTCTGACTATACTTTGTGTCACCGAACTGCACACATAAAGACAGAAAAGGTGGTGGCGCAGCAACTCCTACCTGCACTCCTTGATCACTTGGTGGATGTCAAACTCAAAGGCTGCCAACAAGATGTTGTCCAAGGGTTCCGGGCTGCTCTCACCTCCCAAAAACAGGTCAAGGCTGGACTGTGGAAAGGTGGTGACCCACTCAATTCCCAGACGGAAGCAGAGACTCAAGGGGGCAGGCAGGGCTGCTGTGTAGGGAACCCTGGAGAAGGGTGATGGGGTCCTTCAAAAAGGGCCAAACGAAGGGCACCCGGCTGGCTCGCTGGAAAAACATGCGACTCATGATCTCTAGAGTCTTGAGTTTGAGCCCCACGTTTGGGGTAGAGATTACTAAAAAAATAAATAAACTTAAAAGGAGGAGGGAGGGGCAAAGGGAAGACCCTTCCTGTTCTCCAGGGAGGTTCAACTCAAAGAGGCCGCACACTGAAAATGACTTAGCCCGCAGGATTCCTACTCCCCACCACCATCCCTTGGAGTTGAGGCTCACCTGGGCATAGAGATGCAGGTCAATGGGTTTTACTGTGGGATGAGAGTACAGGAGCCGGGTCACTAGGAAATGATACCAGTTATTCAGAAGCTCCTTCTGCTCCAACAAGGCAGCTTCATCCCCCAGCATGATCTAAGGAAAGAGATATTTTCCCTCAGTTCCAGAGCCAACTTCTCTGTTAACTCTCCTGATCTCAGGGCGCCTGGGTGGCTCAGTCGGTGAAGCGCCTGCCTTTGGCTCAGGTCATGATCCTGAGGTCCTAGGATTGAGGCCTGCATGGGGCTCTCTGCTCCGCGAGAAGCCTGCTTCTCCCTCTCCCTCCAACGCCCCCTGCCACTCATGCTCTCTCGTGTGTGCTCTCTCTCAAATAAATAAATAAAATCTAAACAATAAAACAAAAAAACCTCTCCAGATCTCAACTAGAGCATCTGATCTGAAAGCCCTTCCTTCCTGGCAGAGCTGATGGATAGCCTTGTCCAAAGAGGATCATGTTCCTGCTATTGCTGTGTTGGATGTCACAGCCCCAACTTGGACCCCAACCTAGACTTCCTTTCCACAGACCTTGCAGAGAGACTCCAGGTGAGGACTGGCAGCAAACGTGCTGTCCTGGAGGTGACGCTCACATTCCTCATGCCAGTGCTGCCACTTGAGCTCCAGCTCTGTCAGCGTCTGGGTGTTACCAGGCTAAGGGGAGAGACACAGTGAGATGCCATTGCCACAGAAACCCCTTGTGCTTAATGAACAAACCCCTCTCTTGTGACCCAGCAGAGCAGGGCTGCTCCCACATACACTGAGAACGGGCATTGTCCTCATCAGGTCCCCTAGGATTCGGCACATGCCTGCAGAGGAGGGGCTGGCGTCGGCTTCCTTGGAGAGCATCTGCCGAGCCTCGTCTAGCCGGCCCTGTAGTACCAAGATGGTCACCTGGGAGGACACACAAGAGCATGAACATTCACAGAGGCCCAGAAGCCAGTCTCTTCAATCCACACTTGGGCTTCCTAGCCTTATGGAAGTGTGATGGTTCCTTCCCTCCAGCAGTAATCTAAGTCATCTAGTCTAAGGGTTTTAACCTGGACCATGCTTTTCAAACTGCATGTTGTAACCCATTACAGACTGCAACCAACTTTTTAAAAAATAAATGAAATGGGGATGCCTGGCTAGATCAGTCGGTAGAGCATGCACCTCTTAATCCCAGGGTCATGAGTTCAAGCCCCACACTGGATGTAGAATTTACACAATAAATGAATGAATGAAATAGAAAACAGAAAATGACATAGTACATCAAGTAAAGATCGGTTCGTAAAAGGTTCAGTTCAAATAAATATACACACACACACACACCCACATACACTCAATATAAATAGTCAATCCTCTTCATTCAGAGATTCCGTATTTGTGAATTTGCCCACTTGTTAACATTTATTTGTAACCCCAAAATCAATACGTGAGGTACTTTCACCATTACTTGTGGACATGTCCAGAGTGGCGAAAACTGAGTCACTTGATGTGCACATTCCCAGCTGACGTTGAACAAGGTGGGGTGCTCTACCTTCTTGTATCAACTCTCACGCTAAACAAATGTCTTTTTCAGGATCTACCTAGTGCCACTTTTTTTGTATTGTGGTGCTTTTTGCTGAGCCCCAAGCATAGTGCTGAAGTGCTATACTAAGTGCTAAGTGCTAAGAAGAGATGATGGCCCACAGGGAGAAAATGTGTGTTAGATAAGCTTCATTCAGGCATGCACTACAGTGTTGTTGGCCATGAGATCAATGTTAATGAGTCAACAGTATATATTAAATAAGGTGTCTTTAAGCAAAACCATACATAAAACAAAGTTATATACTGATCAACTGACAAAAATGGGATCAGAGGCTGGAAGAATCCTGTATTACAGTAATCAGTAATACAGTGTTCCAGACAACTTTATAGACCTTAACTGTCATGAATAATGACAACGAATAGTATATACACACTAACAAATACGTAAAACATACAAAGTAACATCTTCCCATACTAAGTCATGCTCAAAAAAGCCAAAGATATATATGCTGACAAATCCCCAATTTCTCTCTAGCCTGCACTTCCTTCTCTGGATTCCAGACTTGTATACCTTACTGCCGAGACAGTGTCACAACTTGGACCTCATGGGCATCTTAAACGTAGCATGTCTAAAAGTAAACACCCAGCTGCCTCCAACTCACCAACCTGATCTTCCCACATTCTCCTATTTCTTACAAATGCACATCTAATCTATTAGCCAATCCCATCAACAGTATCCGTAAACTGCATCCAGAATCTAATCACTTTTCACCACCTCCTCTGTTCGGCACCCATCCTTGTCCAAGTCACCAATATCTTTGCCTGGTTTAGTACCATAGCCTCTAGACTGGTCTCTGCTTCCACCCTTGCTCCATCCTTGGTAGGGCAGCCAGAGAGCCTTGAAAACCTACATCCGACCACAGCGTGAATGCTCAGCTCTCCAATGCCCCCTCACCCCCTTTGATTCAGGGGTTGTGTCCATCAACTAGCTTACACACATATATGTCCTTTAATCATAATTTTTTTTCAAGACTTCATTTATTTGAGAGAGAGCACGAGTGGGGCGAGGGGCAGAAGGAGAGGGAGGAGCAGGAGTGGGGAGACCTGACGTGAGACTTGATTCCAGGACCCCGAGATCATGACCTGAGCTGAAATCAGGCTTAAATGACTAAGCCACCCAAGCGCCCTAATCATAACACAATTGCAAACATAATCTTATTATTACCTGCACTGTACAGAAGAAGAAACTAAAGGCTGTTAACACATTTAAGACCCCACAGCTAGAAAGAGGCAGAGCTGGGATACTAACTCTGGCAATGTGGCACCGCAGACCATGTTCTCACCACAATGCTCTACCGCCTCTCTCCAAGTCCTTAGGACAGTCCAGGGACCCCGCTGGTCTGACCCTGTGACTCTCTGCCCTTAGGTCTCCAACTCCTGCCCTTGCTCACACTGCTCCTAACCCCACTGAGCCTCCAGGTGAGGGCGTTTGCAGGTCTCACTGTCTGCAACACTCTTTCCCCTCCTTTGGCCCAGTACCCCTCCCCCCACATCACCTCATGAGGGAGGCCTTCCTTGATTCCCCAGCTCTAGAATTGCCAATTCCCCAGCTTGGCTTTACTGCTCTCCATACCACAGTGCTTCCCTGTTAGGCATGCTACCTATTTTACTTGTTGCTGTATTTATTTCCTGTCTCCCCACCCAGGAAGTAAACTTCCTAACGGCAGTAATCTTTGCCCACTTTGGTCACGGTTGTTTCCTCACTGCCTTGCAAACAGGAGCACTCGATAAATACTCAGTGAATGAATCAGAGACTCAAAATCTGGGCCCAATACTTCCTGAACAAAGGCGCTCCCCTCACTTGCACAGATCTCCCAGCAACAAAAGGCCCAGAAATAGCATCAAAGGCGACAATTCTTTACTGGAATTCCAGATTTTATAAGTTTAATCAACTTTCCATTATTCAGGTCAACTAGCACTCTTCTCCCCAGTCCCTACCAATTGGGTCACAGGTCAGTAGGCACAGAATACATACATATCTACCCACCCACACACACTCACAACCCCAATACACATGCTGAATTCCCAAACGGATAACCCAAAATGACTCCAGGATCATCAGTCTTTTTAATAGCTATATTGAGCTATAATTTATACACTATAAACATTCATCTATTTAAGTAGTAAGTTTACAGAGTTGTGCACCATCACTACAATCCAGTTTTAGAACATTTCTATCACCTCAAAACCCCTCCTGCTCATTTAATCTCCTACCCCCTCCAGCTTCTATCAGTTTTATCACGTCTTCTCTTCCTTAGATTCACAAAGAAATTAAACGTCCCTGCTCACTGGGAAGTCTACAAAGCATTACTTTTCTTACAAAACAACTTAGTTCTAAACTCTCCTGTGGAGCAGGGAAGAAAAGATCTAAGAGCATCTCCATAATCAGAACCAAGGAGCCAGTCCGAGGGTGAGCTGGCTCAGCAGGCAATCCTCAGGCCCGCCTGCAAGCACTGGGAAAAACAGACCATGAGGTAGAAGGCAGGAAGGCCCGGCCTGCAGGAGATGCTTACCAACTTCCAGAAGCTCTCATGTTTGCTTGGATTCTCACTGCCCAGGACATCTGCCAACAAACTGTCCACTTCACACACATGCAGTCGGACCCAGTCAAGGAGGTGAAGAAGGAGAGGGCCAGCTGGGAGGAAAGACTCTTGTTACACACAAAAAACCTCAGTTTTATCTGCAGCAAATCCCACTTTCCCAATGCATAGACAGAAAATGTAGGGCAAACAAGATGACTATGTAGGAAGTAGTTTATCCCACTTAGGTGGGCACCCATATGGTCCTGGATAAATGACTGGACTAGCAAATGGACCTTTACGAATAGTTCCTCTGAGCCAGGCAGCTCCACCTTTCATGAATTTTAGAAAGGGCTGAATCTCCCCTCCGCCTCCACCCCCAATTCTTCATGACTATGCAGTACTCTATGGCTATGTAAGGAATGGCCACTTCGGGATTGCTACTGACTAGGCGCTAGGTATGAGAAAACATAGCAACAGCCCTCAAAATACACTGGAGGAGGTAAACATAGAAACAACTAATTTTAATTTCACATTGCTCAAGGCTTTAACGGGAGTATGAGTAAAAACCTCTGACTGCACAGAGATTATTAACACTCATATGGATAACAGCAAACATAAACCATCAAGAGAATGCAAAAAAGCCTGCAGCACCTCCAGAGAGAGCCTGCTCATGCCAGGATACCGTACCGACCACAATTCAGTTCAAGAACAGGGACTAATTCAGAGTGGACAGTTCACAAGTAGGGCAGCCCCCTCCCCAATCACTGTAAACAGAATTCTCCCAGTGACTTTGCCTCCCACCATCTAATCCCTCCTCACATCCCTAAAACATTTTTCCTTTTAATTTTTATTTTTAATTCTAAACAACCAACATTTATTATTGCACATTTCTGGAGGCCAGAAGTCTGAGATCAAGGAGTGGACAGAGTTGGTTCTTTCTGAGGCTGGGAGGGAGAACCCATTCCATGCCTCTCCCCTGACTTTCCAAAAACTCTTAAGCTTGACCAGTCCACCATATGAATCTTGACCACCCCTGTCACACATTAGTCCAGTATGCTTTCCTGGTGTTTTTCAGGGGTCACCTGACCAACATCTTAGGTTTTTAGAAGGCATTCTTTCTGACTTTTTGTAGTATCTGACAAAATGGCAAACTTCCTTGGGTGTTATGTACAGCTTTCTGCTGGTTACACTGATGAAAAGTGAGGAAAAGAGCATCCTTGGCAATAAAACACTCGCTCACCACAACACGCAGGAAAGACAGAGGAAACGGCAGGGGGACACCTTTGATGTTGTGAAGGGGTGATTCCATGCTCACCTGGGGCTACTTCAATAAAAAGAATCTCACAAAGGTTCCAAATGAGCTCCATTGCTGACAAAATGGAGACCTAAGGAAGAAATGGAGACAAAATTTTAACTGAAAACATTCCTGACATTTCTCTTAGAGCAAAGGAATGAAGAAGCAGGGCTTGAATCATATGACGGTCATTCATCATTAACTCAGCAATTACTAAATAGTCCTATGGCAGGGTTTCCCACAGGGAAGCCAGTGAGTGAATTTTAGGGGGTGGCAGGCAGACTAACATTTTTTTTATTTTAATGGTTCTTGTTTTAGTTTAATGTGCATTATAGAGGAATATAATTAGCTCATCACGCCCAAGGTCTTCATGAATATTTTGATTTAGAAAGAGGCTCTAAGTAAATGGGAGATGATTCTTAGAAAAATATTCAGTAAATAATATTAAAAATTCTACAGATACAGAAAAAATTGTGAAGTTGATATTCAAGGGACTAAAGTTTAAGAAAGTCTATTAAAAGTCAAACCCAATATAAGACCCAAAAATAAATCAGGTCTGGACCCTGCCCTTAGGAACATGCAGTCTCCTCTTCCCCAACATCCTTTCACACACAAACACAGACTATCTTATTCATAAGGGAAAACAAATGCTTTGCTGACTGTGCACTAGAGCTCACCAGAGACAGTGCACTAGTCCCTATTCACTACTAAGTTTGAACACTGTCAACATTCTACCGAATAAAGAGAATTCTTTCACTCATCTTCCAGCTCCAACTAAAGCAAACAACTCAGTAAAAATACTGGGTTGAGCTGAGTACAGTTTATAAAAATAATTAGTGATTCCAAAAGCTCAGCTATCTCAAGTGACACAATGTGGTTAGGATTGACATTTCCCCTAAGAACTGGAAACTCAGGGCACCCGTGTGGCTCAGTCAGTTAAGCATCTGCCTTCGGCTCAGGTCATGATCCCAGGGTCCTAGGATCGAGCCCCATATCAGACTTCCTACTCAGCGGGGAGTCCATTTCTCCTTCTGCCCCTCCCCCTGCTTGTGCTCTCTCAATCTCTCTCTCAAATAAATAAATAAAATAGAAAAAAAAAAAACCTAGAAACTCATACAAACACTTATCAAGCACACCCCTGTCTTCCCATGGTGCTATGGCCTTGAAGGGGACACCAGGAAGTTCAAGATGATCCTTACCACCCCCAAAGAGTTGTCTGTCTACCTGGAAAGAAAAGACTTCTACAAAAACAATGATTGTGGGGCACCTAGGTGGCTCAGGTAGGTTGTGTCTGACTCTTGATTTCAGATCAGGTCATGATATTAGAGTCGTGGGATCAAGCCCTGCATCTAGCTCGTCGGGCTCACTGTTCAGCTGGGAGTCTGCTGGAGATTCTCTCTCTGCCCCCCTCCCCCTGGCCCTCCCCCTGCTCAGACTCTCTCTCTCTCTCTCAAATCTTTAAAAAACAAAACAAGGGCGCCTGGGTGGCTCAGTCGTTAAGCGTCTGCCTCCGGCTCAGGTCATGATCCCAGGGTCCTGGGATCGAGCCCCACATAGCCTGCTTCTCCCTCTCCCCCTGCTTCTGTTCCCTCTCTCGCTGTATCTCTGTCAAATAAATAAATAAAATCTTTAAAAAAATTAAAATAAATAAAACAAAACAAACAACAAAAATAATGATTGCAAAGTCACCCTAGGTGTGTGTTAAGGACACAGAAGGACATAATGGTACCAGCTGGACAACAAACGTGGCCCCCTTACCTGGCTGCTGAACTGGCGACCACTGACTGGATCTTTAGCAGCAACTAACAACACACAAACATTTTAAGTGAGGAATGAAACTTTTAGTCTCACAGTTATACCTTCATATACCAGGTTCTTTGGCTTATGCCTTTGTTTCTGCTAATGACCACCCATTTTCACTACAGATTTTTATTTTTTAAGAGCGCACATTGGGGGTGGGGGAGGTTGCGAGCAGAGGAAGAGAGAGTCTTAAGCAGGCTCACACTCAGCCCGATGTAAGGCTTAATCTCACAACCCTGAGATCATGACCTGAGCCGAAACCAAGAGTCGGATGCTTAACTGACTGAGCCACCCAGGCACCCCTTCACTATAGATTTTTAAAAAATGCTTAGTATCTCTTTGTTGCAGATCAATGATTTGCAAACCCAACACCCTCAAGTTACAAGTGACACTTTCAACTGCAAACTGCAGAGACCATCAGGTTATAAAAGACTCTACTCAGCATCCAGCAGTCACGGAGCTCTCATGGTTATGGTGACTTTAAATCACCAAGGTTAGGGGTGCTTGGGTGGCACAGTCGGTTAAGTGAACAACTCTTGGTTTCAGCTCAAGTCATAATCTCAGGGTCTTTAGATCAGGCTCCAAGTCAGGCTCTGTGATCAGCACAGAGTCTAAGACTCTCTCGCCCTCTGCCCCTCCCTCAATACTCACACATGCTCTCTCTAAATAAATAAATCTAAGAAAGAAAAAGGAAAGAAAGAAAGATCGATCACCAAGGTTAAAGAACCAAGAATGTGATTTTCAAAGATTGTTAATTTGGCCCTCAGTCTCACACCTGTAGACTCAATATGCTCTAACTTGAAAAACGTACTCAAGGGGTGCCTAGGTGGCTCAGTCGTTAAGCATCTGCCTTCGGCTCAGGTCATGATCCCAGGGTTCTGGGATCAAGTCCCACATGGTACTCCCTGCTCCGCCGGAGGCCTGCTTCTCCCTCTCCCACTCACCCCTCTTGTGTTCACTCTCTCGCTGTGTCTCTCTTTGTGAAATAAATAAATAAAATCTTTTAAAAAATTTTTTAAAAAAAGAAAGAAAAATGTACCAAGAAAACTGCCAAAAGGGGCGCCTGGGTGGCTCAGTCGTTAAGTGTCTGCCTTCGGCTCAGGTCATGATCCCAGGGTCCTGGGATCAAGCCTGGCATCCGGGAAGCCTACTTCTCCCTCTCCCACTCCCCCTGCTTG